CAATTAATATATTTTTCAGTTTATCAAATGGATATGTACATAGGCTACTTCACATACCTCTTAGAGAGTATTGCCTCCTTTATACCCACAACGCATCTGCAGATAACTCCACCGCACCTATGTCGAGGCAAAAGCTAAGGCCTCCACGAGCTCTACACACTAAGAAATATATTTAACTCCAACAGGAGGCTGTGGAAACTCAAATCCTGACTTTGAGTGAGAAATTTGAAGGTCTTACTACTGAATCAACCCCTATTGGTGGCCCAATTAATATATAAGTATTGTTAGGCTTAATTAAGAATTTATATATTTAGTCCAAACAAATTAAAATATATATAAATACATATATATATATATAATTTATAATGACTCCAAATAGAGTTTTATGTCAACAATCCACCACCTTACCAAATTAAAAACACACACTCACTCTCTCTCTCTCTTAAATTTTTTTCCCTCTCTCTTCATCATAATTTAATTCAATAATTTTTCTGTAATATTTCTCCTAGTTTTGTTTGTCCTAATTTTGTTTCAATAATTTGTGTTTTGAGTTAATGGATTGTAATTTGCGCGGATTATGATTGAGTTATCAGATATCAGATTACAACAACATAATCATTTTATTATAAGATATTAGTGTATAATATTATGTGTGTTGATTATTAGTAAATTATAAAACAATAAGGCCATATTCCATCTTTTTTCAGTATTTGTAATAATTTCTTCATATCTTAATATATAAAAGTAAATTTTAATTTATAATTTTAATGATTATCAGTGTAAAGAGATTTTTTTTGTGGTACTTAAATATTAAAAAATTATTGATAATTATTATGATTTTATAAATAAAATATATATATAAAAGAATTCTATTTTCAAAAATTGCCTAAAACCCCATAAATCTCATGGCCTACTTTGGTTAAGCTATGACCATAGAAACCATTGTCATCTCAAAACGTCCTCAAATTGAGTTTGTGCCAACCTTACCCCGAGGTCAAGTTGGGAAATAGATTTGCGACTCTCATAGTCACATATTGAACATTCATGTAAGAGTTATGTCTAACAAGGTGAATAAGAACATGCGTTGGTGTTGGTGCGGTAGACTTGAGAAATTTTAAATTATTAATGACTACTCTGTATATGATGGTCACACTATATGAAAATAACTAATGCATAAGTTACAAAAATTAAACTATTTGAAAATTTTCTACATAACATTTTTTTATAAATAAAAAATTTAAGGTAATATTTTACCTTTTAACTCAGGACAAAAAAGATTTTATTTATAATTTTTATTTTATTTATGAGACCAATGGTAGCTGTTTTCTAATTAATGGGTCATAAAATTTAAATTGTTTAAATGATTATTTTAAGGCTCTCAAATTCATATTTCAACTTATCAAAAAAATTTATAACTTTTTTTAAAAAAATTCTAAAAGTTTATACCAAACCGTTTGCTATAATTTATACTTATTGGTTAAGCAAAAATAAATAAATAAGTTAAAAATAACAAATTATCAATTTTAACATATAATAAACTGCAACATACAAAATTGGGATGAATGATGAAATATTGTGATTATTTGGTGCAATTTATCTTAACAACAATGATTCATCCCCCTTTTCCCCCACCCCCTTTGACCCCCTTTCTCTCTCATTGGTTATATTTTCTTTTTCTTTTTCTTTTTTTTCCTGCTCCTCCAATCACCACCCGCCACGTGGCAAAGGGGGGGTGAGGGGGTGACCCCCAAAAGGGAGTCCCAAGCATTATTCTTATCTTAATTGTTTATAGATTTTTTATTTTAGGAGTCTCTGTCGACTGCATGTGTTTATAATTTATTAGGCAGAAATAACTTAAATATGTTTAAAAAAAAAGTGCATGTCTGAAGGCTAGATTGGGAGGAGGGGGCGTGGGGGGTCTTTGACTTATGTTTTTAGATTATTAACTTTTAATTTATCATAAATTATATTAAATAATACCATTATCTGGCAGAATGAAAAATTTTCGAATTAGGTGTAGTTTTCAAAAATAATTACATACTCATAAAAAAGTTTATGATTTTAAAAATTAAAATTTGTAAACTTTATCATCAATATGAAGAAAAAAAATTACAACCATCCAATGATAGGTTATTTCCCCAAAAATAAAAGCGGAAAGCAGGTGCACACCAAATTGGCGTAATTCTATTCGAAAAAATTTCGAAATATCAATTATAAAGTGTGTAATTTTATCACAAATTAATATAAGAAAATGTTCAAAATTTTATAGTTGATGTTACAAAAATTTGTGACTTGGTTACGACATTTTTTGTTATATCAATTTGTGACAAGATTATACTTTTTATAGTTGATTTTATAAAATTTCGTAATAAAATTATGCTAATGCGGTAAATTAGCATAGGTTCAACTCCTCTCTACTGTGTGAGTCGTTATTTAAATGGGACTTGTATTGAGGGGTTAGTGGGTTACAATCTCTCATTTGGAGTGAATAATAGAATACCTTAATAATCTCAATCCGTGCGCTGCTTTAGATCTATAAGAGGATGTGAGGATTTCCTATAAAGCAAATTTTAAAAAAAATGTCAGCTCCAGGTCGCTGTAATGCTGTCGGTTGCCAAATATGGTTGGTGAGGAAAGTTGGGTTGGTTCTTAAGTGTTTTTTGGAAAGTTGGGTTGGTTTTTAAGTTTTTTTATTTTTTTTTGACTATTTTAGTCTTGATTAAAAAAATTATTTAAGTTGATTTTTTTTTTTTGTAAGAAAAAAATAAAAGTAAAATAATTATGATTTGGATGTGATATTTTTTTTATTAATTTTTTAACTTATTTTATCATTTTGTAGCTAATTTAACCAAAAAGTCAATCCAATCTTCATGCCAAACGACACCTTAATATTATTTTGGTAATTTAGGATGGAAAAGAAAGGAAATGATGAGGTAGGTTATAGAAGAAAATAAAATAATAAAAAAAATTATGAGTATTAAAAAGTAGACAATTCAAATCATTGAAATTAATCTCAAAATAAACTTGTCAAAAATTAACACTCTCTCAAGTTAAGATGACTGACGTAAAAGAAGCCAACCTATTTTTAATCTCTCCAAAAGTGGAGAGAAATTGAGAGAATTGAAACTATTATTTTATTATAATACCAAAACTATCCTTTTAGATATGAACCAAATAAAAATATATTAACACCTATAAAAAGGTTAATTTGGTAATATAATATTATATCATTTCTTTATGGGTTTGACTTCTCTCAAGTTGTCATCTCAACTAGAGAGAGCGTTTGGACTTAGTAAATCTATTTTGAAACTGATTTCAGTGATCTGAACTGTTTATTTTTTAGGACTCATTGAGTAGAATATTCATATAAAAAATTAAGATGGTTAGATATCGGTAGTTGTATGTTTGGATCATATTTGTTTTTTTTTTAAAAATAGACAACAAATATAATTATAAGAATGCCATTCATTTTTTAAATACAACTTTGATTTAAACATATAGCTAACAATATCCAATCGTCTTGAATTTTTATACGAATATTCTACTCAATGAATCCTAAAAATGAACGGTTCAGGTCATCGAAAATTGGTCCCAAAACAAACCTACCAAATCCAAACATTCTCTCAAGTTGAAATAGCCAATACGAGAGAAGCCCAACCCATTGAAAATAGGGGGTACGAGAGAAATGTGTTTCTCTTCGTTTCTCCCCTATTTGTTAATCCAAATAAGGGATTGAAATTCATTTCGCTCTTATTTGATAATCCAAACAAGGGATTAAAATCTATCTCTCTCAATTTTTTTTTATTCTTTCCAAATCACTCAAACCAAACGAAGTATAAGTAATGTTAGAAATTTTAAACCAATTATTAAATATGGATAAACTTTATAATCCCCAAAGTTTAACATCTTTTTGTTTAAGTCCCTAAAGTTTTAATTTTGTCAATTAAGGCCTCGTTTGGAAACAGGCTAATTTAGTAACTTTTTGACTATTTGGCTAAAAAAGTAGGTAAAAAAAGCTTGAATGTTTGGGATGCCTTTTTGGCTAATTACGAAAAGATGTGCAAAAAGTAGAGAGAAAAGAGAATCTTTGACTTTTTGATATGAGTTATAGGCTTTTTGGCTAATTTAGTAACTTTTTGGCTAATTGACTAAAAAAGTAAGTCCCCAAACGGGGCCTAAGTCTCTAAAGTATTAAATTCAAATAAATTTAGTTGAAGACAATACAAAATAAACTATAAGTCTAAAGGATATATAAAATTATTATAAGGCTCGAATTTTAATTTATTATTAACTTAATCATCCTTATAGGTGTTTTAGAATTGATATTAGAGACTGATTTCTTAGCAATGCCAATATTAATATATGAACATTAAATATATTAAAGAAGTCGAATTAAATAATTTAAATATTAGTACTGCATTACAAATAATTATCGAACAAAATAATACTATAATCAAGTTATTAAAAGTATTTAACAAAAATCAACTAAAAATTATACACAAAATTCGGCATCTATTATTAGATAAATGTAAGTAGTTAGCTCTTGTAGAAAATAAGGAAGAAAATAATACAAATAATTATCTTTATCCTTACAGAGAAACTCTCTAAAGGAACCTTTTGAATTAATACCACCAGAAAAATGAAAAAATAGATCTAAGTAATTATAGTGTAGAAGAATTAGAAATAGAAAAAATTGTTAAAAAGTTCAAGTTAAGGAATGTATAAGGCATTAGATCCAATGAATATTTTTTGTTAGTGAGAGATCCACCATTTGTGAAATAGTTTGGTGTGAAGTCCTTTTCTTCATTTTAGAAGACATTTGTTTTCAATTTTACCCCTTAATTTATTTGTTGACTTTTTTGACTATTTGTTTAATTTTTTTCAATCTTTTCATTTTTTTTCTCTACTCAAAAAATTTATCTATTCAATTTTTTAAACTGTTCAAATTTCTCTCTTTATCTGTTCAAATTCTCATACATACACAGATATGGAGAGAGGTGGAAAGTGGAATTTACAATCTATTTGTACTAATGGAATTCTCAACCTATCTGTATGAAAATCTTCAAGCAATACACCTACAGCAAGCAGGAGATGTGAAAAATTGAGGAAGAATAGAAAGGAAGCAATCAGACTCATCCTCATCAACTCATACATACATACAAGAAGAAGCCAGATCCAAAAAAAAAAAATAGTATATGAGAGAGAGAGAGAGAGAGAGATTCATTTCTTTCAATTTCTATAAGCAACCAAACACAAAATTATTTAGCTTCCACCACACCAGTTTTATGTAGATCTAGAAATGCTCTGAGAAGAAAGCTCCAAATAGGGCATCAATGGTGGTTAATCTGCAACAGAAATGTTTCAAATCAAAGAGAATAATAATTAACATAACATATCAAAGATCACTACAAAACCAAAACATATATATAATTATAATAGAGTGTGATAGAGTAATGGACCTAGGAATTTGTGAGTGTTGATAACTCATGGAATAGAGCTAACTAAGCTTGGGAAAATAGAGAAAGTGACCAAGAAGTAGAGATCAACTCTCTCCCTCTCTCTAACTTCACTCGAGGCTCTCAACCATCGACACTGAGCCACCGCACTTTTGACACCGAGCCACGGCGAGGATCTGGCAGCACGATGGGCATGGGGAGTGAGATCCGAGCCACATGAGGCAGATCGGAGACTCGGCAGTCCCGTCGAGTTTGGCGTTGGTGGTAGAAAATTTGGCGATGAACAGACGACGATGAAGGAGAGAGAGGAAAGAGATCGGCGGTGAGGAACTGGTGATACGGTGGTTATTTGTGTGGATCTGTGCAATTCACTGACGGAGATCGATTGGAGAGGGTCGCCTCCAGCATTGATTTCGGCAGAAGAGGAGAGGAGGAGAACGAGAGAAATAGGACTAGAGAGAGAGAGCGAGCTTGTCCTTATGGACACAATGAAGTTGCGTGTAGACCTTTGGGCATAAGAAATATATGATTGGATTTTTCTCCCAAGTACCCTTAGAAATAATGGTGGAACAAGAAAAGTATAATGAAATTAAATATAAAATAATATTAGAAATAATTAAAAAAAAATTAGATAAATTTAATAATTGCATATTAGAAAAAATAAATAATAGTAGAATAGAAATAGCAAAAAACCTATATAAACAACTACGATTAATCAGTTTGGGAGAAATATACCAATTCTAAAAATACACGTGCAGAGGATAATTAAGTTAACAATAAATAAAAATTCAGGCCTTATGACAATTTTATATAACTTTTGGGCTTATATTTTATTTTTATATTGTATTTAGGACTACATTGATTCAAATTTAATTCTTTAGGGAATTAATTGACAAAATCAAAACTTTAAGGACTTAAATGAAAAGGATGTTAAACTTTAAGGACTATCATTATAATTTATTCATTAAATATTTTATACAATATTCATATGAGTATGAGATTTATGTGAGTCTTATATGATGTAACTGTAACACTATAACTCCCCGAAAATATTACAATAAGATTATCATACCACATATATTAAATATCAACAGATGACTAAATATAATCTTCTTCCATTCATAAGGTTTCACATCTTTACAAAAGTGTAACACATGCAGTAATATATTCACAAGTTCTAACCCTGAATCTATAGCATGTGTCATTGGTACAAGATATAAAATAAAAATAAACAGATATGGTAATGCTCTATTGCCACAACTTTCCAAGACGGTGCTTGGTTACAACAAAAGTGAGTTTAAACTCTATACAAATAAAGCCCTATGCTTGTACAAAATAAATACAACAATAACAAAAACAGAAGCTCTTGGCTCCCAGTCTTCCCAAGCTATTACTTTGGTGGAGGCATATCATCAGCATTTGAAAATGGTTTTCCACTTAGGGTGAGCCAAAATCCAGTAAAAATACTCTAACACAGTGTATGAATCTTAACAGAGTTATGAGGTGGATGCATATGCAATGCTCGTGCCAAAACATTTTATATATAGCGTTCTCGGTTTTACCCCGACCTTTATTGTGTTCCGGACTCGGGTTCCGTGATTGTATGTTGTTGTCTACGTCTTGTTTCCTTCCTTTAATTCCTTGAATTTGAGTTTTGGGACTTGTTGGCCGAGTTTGGAACAGGTTGGTTGTTAGTTGGTTTTTGGTTTTTTTGCTCAAGCGAAGCTTCTTGCGCTTGAGCGAGCCTTGTGTAACTTGCTATTTTGCTCGAGCGAGGTTTCTTGCACTCGAGCGAGAATTGAGGGTCCTCAGGTTTCTTTCCCAAACGCAGCTTCTCTGGGAAGATGTAAGTTCTTCGCTCGAGCGAGGCTTTTTGCACTCGAGTGAGCCTTGTGGAATTGTTTCTTCGCTCGAGCGAGACTTCTTGCGCTCGAACGTGCATCTGCGTCTGTGGCAGACCTGAAGCTTTGCATTCTACGCTTGAGCGACACTTCTTGCGCTCGAGCGAGGTCACTGTTGTGTCTGGTCGCTCGAGTGATAACTCATTCGCTCGAGCGAGGACTGCGTATATCAGTTCGCAGCAGAGCTTTTCTGCATCACTTTTTGATTTCTTTTCATCCCAAAACCCTAATCCAGGACCTCCTCTCTCTGAAACTCTCTCTCTCTCTCTACAAATACTCCATGATCTAGGGTCTTTCTACCCTACTTCCTTTGTTAAAAAGATAGAGTATTGCGTGAGCTTTCATTTGATTCAAAAAAGGCGGAGTTTGGTCATCTTCAAAGTTTCTTTCTTCTTCTCCTTTGAGCTTTTATACTTGAGGTAGGGATATTCTACTCTTTAATATGAGCTTTAACTTAGATATTTGTCATTTTGTATAAATAGTGGGATTTGGGAAGATTTTGGTGTAGTTAGGGTTAGGGTTTTGATATTTGAAATAGGGGTTTTCCATATTTGGTACCATATGTGTATGAGAGGTCTTGAACATGATATTGCTTGGGTATAATTGGTGAAATTTGGTCTTGGGTGTAATATTTAGGAAATGGGGAAGATTGCCTCTAATTTGAACTAAATAACTATTTCGTATAAATAATGAAATTGGTATGAGAAATATGAAATTGGGAGGTTGTGTGAATGAAGGGTGTAGTTGGATTTGATAAATCACTCACCTATGGGAATTTGGTGAAATTTGGTGAAATTTGGGAGATTGAAATTTGGTACCATATGTGTATGAGAGGTCTTGAACATGATATTGCTTGGGTATAATTGGTGAAATTTGGTCTTGGGTGTAATATTTAGGAAATGGGGAAGATTGCCTCTAATTTGAACTAAATAACTATTTCGTATAAATAATGAAATTGGTATGAGAAATATGAAATTGGGAGGTTGTGTGAATGAAGGGTGTAGTTGGATTTGATAAATCACTCACCTATGGGAATTTGATAAATTATCTGTTGATGGATTTATTTATCTGTTTAGAGATATCTGTTTTGAGCTATCCTTGGAGGATAGCTATGATTGTTGTAGAAACTGCATGAGGATTAGGAAGATTGAAACTAATCAATTGAATTATGTCATTGAATATGACGGTTTGACTAAACCATTAAATATGTGATTTGATTAGTCATTGTATATGACAATGTGTTTAAATACATTATATATGTATCGTTGTTTGGGAGGAGATAGGAGACGTACTCAATTGCGTGGGAGGAGATAGAGGATAGACTCCATTGAGAATTAAGTTGTCCAGAATGTCCAGGGTGAAAGTCCCGAAATCTTATATATTTATGGGTGTCAGTTCCCTCAGATGTGATTCCGTAAAATGGCAAGGAATAGAATTGTTGGATTGATGAATGTATTGAATTGTGAACCATTGAGTTGTAGTCTCATTTTGGTTGTTTTGATAATAATGAATTTGGTTAATAGATTTACCTAAAATGGATAAATGGAAATGAATTGAAGTATTAGTTATCTGTATTGAATGGCCTTGGAAAGAATATGTGTTGGTTAAGAATATTGCACATTTATCTGATGCTGATATTTTAGTTAATTCTCATATATTGTTTAGCATATCCCTACTGGGTTTTAGCTCACCCTACTTGGGAAACCATTTTCAGGTACATGTGACATGCCGCCTCCAAGGACATAGCTTGGGAGGTTTTAGGGACTAAAGGCTCTGTTTATGTTATTTTTGTGTTTATATGTTTTCTTTTAAGCCGAGGGCTTTAACTATAAAGAGCTTAGGATTCTTCTTTTGTTGTAACCAAGTGATAACTTGGAAAGATGGAAGCTCGTAGGGCACTTATTTTGTTGTTCGCAATTAGAGTTACATGCTATAGTTTCAAGATCAACATTTATGAAAATGTAATGCATGTAATATCTTTTGTAATGTAGACTCTGATGAATGAAAATATAACATTTCTATCATGTTTATAGACCTTATAAATGATTGATTTCTATCATATTTTGAGGGTGTGTTACATTATATCTCTTTTCAAACCATGCTATGCCATGTTTGTATCATAATTCATGCAATCAATTCCTTTTCAATAGAAAACAGGGTAGTGGATACAACATTGGAAATCTCTAGGATGTGTTTGCAAGTAGGCTACATGTGTCACGACCCAAACCCGCCCCTATGGGTTTAGTACAATAACCGGCCAGTAATTCGAGATTACCGAATGCCTGCTTAATAGTAATACAGTAATACAGAGTACAGGGGCTGGCGGAAGCCAAAACAGTAATTAAAAGATGTCCAATGAGCTGTGACAATCTGTATGCAAAAAGACTTTTCAAGACACATATACAATCAGTACCAAAATAGTATGTACAATATATATAATCATTCAGGACAGGGACTTAATCCCTATTAGAACAGTACAGTACAACATCATTCAGTCTATACAGAACATAAACAGAGAGGGGGGAAAACTAAAACACCCAAAGCAGCCTCAGCTTGAATAGTTCTGGAACCTCAAAGTGAGGCACAAAGGTTGGCTTGACAAAACAGGAGTTAAGCTTGACGCCCCTAGCAACGGTCCGGTGCCTGAACACCAAAACAGGCTAAATTTCCAATCGATTTCCGACTCAGTGCATCAGCAACGGTGTTAGCTTTTCCTGGATGGTACAAAATTTACAGGTCATAGTCTTTTATCAGTTCTAACCATCTCCGCTGCCTCATGTTCAGTTCTTTCTGTGTGAATAAGTACTTCAAACTCTTGTGATCGGTATACACTTCACATGTCGCCCCATAAAGATAGTGACGCCAAATTTTCAATGCAAACACCACTGCAGCAAGTTCTAAGTCATGGGTCGGGTAGTTCTTCTTATGTGGTCTCAGTTGTCGGGAAGCATATGCAATCACCTTACCATTCTGCATTAAAACGCATCCCAAACCCTTATAAGAAGCATCACTAAATACAGTATAACCATCTGTGCCTGAGGGTAGGGTGAGAATCGGTGCAGTCACAAGTCGAGTTTTCAACTCTTGAAAAGCTAATTCCCTCTGATCGGTCCAGTCAAATGATATCCCCTTCTGAATCAACTGTGTCAGTGGTAGGGCAATTTTGGAGAAATCTTTGACAAACCTTCTGTAATACCCGGCCAAGCCTAGAAAACTTTGGACTTCGGTAACATTTGTCGGTCTAGGCCAGTTCCCTACTGCTTCAATTTTCTGTGAATCAACTGAAATTCCATCTTTACTGATTGCATGCCCCAAAAACATAACATTGTCAAGCCAAAATTCACATTTAGTCAGTTTAGCATACAGTTTCTGTTCTCTTAGGGTCTGTAGGGCAGTTCTCAAATGATGTTCATGTTCTTCCATGCTTTTGGAATAAATTAAAATGTCATCTATGAATACAACAATAAAGTCATCGAGGTACGGTTTAAAAATTCAGTTCATAAGGTCCATAAATGCAGCAGGTGCATTGGTAACTCCGAAAGGCATGACTAAGAATTCATAATGTTCATACCTCGTTCGAAATGCAGTCTTTTCAATGTCCCCTGTCTTGCCTTTCA